CTTTCAACTCGGGAACCACAAAAGCTAGGCGGCTGAAATTTTGGTATAGTGTTCCCCGCCAACTGGCGACGCGGCAAATTTAAATTCAGCCTTCCCGTACCCGCGGGTAACTCATACAATGCCTTGAAAGTTTTTTACGGGTAGATCAATATCTCAGGAACCACGGAGTCTAGGAGGCTAAAATTTTAGAGTAAAGGCCCCTTGCCCACGCTCAACCTTGCCTATTCAAATTCAGCATCCCCTCGCTGTTGGGTATCACCTACGGCCTCGTGAGAATTTTGGCGGCTAAACTATTAACTCGGGAATCACGGAAAGATATTCACCCTTCAAGGTTTCGAAAAAATTTGGCTTTCATGCGCTGGTGCGTGAAATTTTTAACTGTTTTCCAATGTTTGAACTATTTTTGCGTTGACTAAAGTGCAAAGCAATGAAAATCATTAATTGGCAATCGTTCGATGGGCTGAATTGCACAAAACGCATGATCGCACCGGCCAGTCTGGTGCGCATTGCTATTTATTTTTGTTCTAAATCATGGCATTGAAAAACTCAGCAAAGCGGCTTGAAGGAGTATTACCTGTTGCTAGCTGTTCAAATTATCAATATAACCTGAAAATATAGCTATTTAGGGTTAAAGAGAAAATATCAAGAAAAAGAAAACGAGGTGAAGAGTGCTTTGAAAGTATTTGTAAAGGGTAAGAAATATTTCGGTCCATTAAAAGGTAAGAAATTTCTTGGATTTTGCAGATGCGCGAGTGAAAGAGAATGTCCTGGCTGTGGAATCATTTCGCTCGATATGTGTTCAGGATCGTAAAGTGCACAGTGTCATTGTGGAGCTATTTGGTGCAGTGGCTGCTACTTCGGGCTCGGTATTCGACAGCAAAATTAGTTTGCTGGCGCATTATGCACTCACGTTACCCTGCGTGGTTGTAAGGTTATTAATTTTTGTTGATTTTGTACTGGAGAAAAATTTTTTTGCTTATACGGGCATGATGTGAAACGTGCTTCACTCCTTAGCTGTCTTCTGCGCGTGGTTCTGCTTATTGTGTGGTTAAAGACGGAAGCAGAAGTCAGTGATGTTAGTGTGAAGTCAGGAGAAATCAAAAATGTAAGGACATGTACCGTTAATGGCTACAGCAACTACACTGAGTGGTTTCTGTGAGGTCGGCATAAATGCACAGTAAAAAAAATTCCAATAAATTGAGGCACGAAAACTCGCAGTTTATTGGCTAAAACATCAGGATGCGGAAGATCCAGTGGTAGTGAAACTAATGGAGCAGGCCCCTCTCGACTTGGAGACGTCTCCACATAAATCCAGTGAAGCCTATAAGTCCAATGGTAGCTGTTAATCGCTAGATGAAATGATTTATTTTGACGACTTAATGTCTGGCTTTCCACTTTTGGCATAGGTTGGTGTGCTGTGTCTGCATTGCATATTCTGCAAATTTTTTTTTTTGTTTAGCTTTGGCGAAATCTAACTGATTTTCATTCTCGTTTTGTAGCTTCGAAAGCAGCTTGAGTTGGGGGGGTGGGGGGTTTGTGCTTTAGTGGCGTGGAGGCATGGAGTATGCATTGCACTGCATATCTTATTATGCGTTTTTGCTATGCAGCGTTAAAGCGTTACAGACAGCTAAAACGCATGTTGTGACTACGCTGTTTGGTGTGTGTGTGTGTGCGTGTGTGTGTGTGTGTTCGTCTGTCCGGGTATTCCTTTTCGACAACCAGGCAAGCTGTAGTACTAAATTTTGCCTGTATCTTCCATGTCCGAGTACGAACCCAGGAACGTGATATCAACTTTCACGCACGTCTGCCACCTACATGCGGGTACGTGGAAATTTTGGCAGGAAAATTGCTAAGTCAAGAACGAGAGAAGCTAGAATCTGAAATTTTAAGGGGATGTTCTCTACCCACCTGTAAACAAAAGATTTGAAGTTCTGCTTCCTTGCATGTCCGAGCCTCGCGTAGAATCAGGTGGAAGAAAATTTTGACATGAAATCTAACAGATCGGGAACCAGTGAACCTAGAAAGCTGAATTCTGAGGAAATGTCCCCTACTCACTTATGATCAAATTTCAAAGTCAACTCTCCAGCACGTGCGGATCTCGCGTACGGACACGTAAAGGTTTTAGTCGGAAAATTGCTAACTCGTGGACCAGAAAAGCTGAAAGGCTAAAATTTTAAAAAGATGTTTCACGTCCACGTACAACTTAAAGATTTCAAATTCAGCCCCAAGGTGCACGTGGTAGTCACGTACGGACACATCATTGTTTTTGCAGAAAAATTACTCGTTGAACAGCCTTGTCGTATTCGGTGAACGCCGTTCAGCGGAATTTTCACTTTCCTTTATGCAAAATTTACGATGATTTACTCTAATCAATGTACAAATCAGACACAAGCAAAAAGCACTCATACAGTTGTCGACCTGATTGGCTCAAGTTTAATGCAAAAATGCATGATCACATCGGCAAAGTTGGTGCATTCCAGCCTAGCTTACGGTTGCCTTCGGGCTGAGTATTTTGAAGCGCTTGCGTCCAGCATGCATTCAGATAACATCGGACTGAAAACTGTCCGCTTTTGATCTCGTCAGTGAAGATTGGCGCTTTCTCAATAAAGTATTTTTGGAAATAGCGTTGAGTCCCATCAAATACTATTTGAGTCGATCGGGAAAGAATGCTTTGTTTTTTAGACATCTGCCATTGATATCGGCTTGCATGACTTCGATTTGTCAACTGCCAGCGAGGCTACTAAGATCGAGCAGTTACCAGTCATTGCTAATATTTGTGGCAAAATTGATGATCGATTTGGCACCACACTCTTTCAATGAAGATGATCGTCTGCAAACTATCCTGCAATCATTTTTTTCTTTATTTGAGGTTAATTTTATCCCTTAAAAGAGCACCCGTAGACAGGTTATTCTGAACCATAATTCGAAGTTTTGGAAAAATGTGAATGTGGGAAGCATCTAAAATTTTATATTTAATATTTTTGCAGAATGTTGGACATGGACGGACGTGGATGCCACTGGCGCAGGTGCTGCAGAATGTTTGTGCGACATACTTGGAGCAAAATCCAAAAGCAGCTGCTCCGTATTTTTTAACACAGACCGAAGCAATCAAGCAGTTATGCGCCTGTGTGGAATCACCGGCTGCCAAAATGCTCAGCGATGCGATTGCTCGGTTAAGTAGAAAGATGATCATTTAATTCACCTGTTTTCGCCAGAAATTCAGATTTAATTTCAGGGAGTTTTGAAATGGGTGTTTGAACAGTGCAGTGTTTTTTTGTTAGAAACGTTCTTTAGCATACACTTTTTGATTTTTTTTTTTTAATTTTTGGGGATTTTATCGATATGCGAAAATGAAAACTACAAAATTTATTACCAAAAATCGAGCTTTTATATACTCCTATCTTAAGCTTCTAGCAAACGAAAAAGTATCCGCAAAAAGCCGACAATAATGGTGGTGTGTGTACGCTATTTGTGACAAAAGATAAGTATTACGGTGTACATATTTGTAGATATCAGCACATACATATTTAGAAAAACTCCAATAAAAATTTTGGAAATTAAAAGTTGTTGCAATTTTTTTGTGGCTTCCACTTCAATTATCAAGAAATTTTGCTCTGCGCAAATGAAATCTCGTTTATTTTTCAAAACTCGACCCAACAAATACTTTATTTTTCAAATTCATGAGGTGTAGTATTCAGAGGTGACACCACGGCGGCCCTCAATTGGATTGTTCAACCAAGCAAAACAAAAATATTTGCGTTATTACGTCACATCATATTACAGTAGCACAGTTTATTACTTCCACCCCAGTACCAGCAAAACACAATTCTAAAATTGTGACTGAACTGTTAATATTACTCCTGACTACG